CTGGGAGGCCTGCCCTTTACTCAAGGAGGAGAGTGGTTGGGGGCCAAGAGAGAGAGAAAGAGAGAGAGAGAGAGAGAGAGAGAGAGAGAGAGAGAGAGAGAGAGAGGAGACAAAATTGCTTTTATCATTTTATCACTGGGAAACCTCTGTAAAGACCAGGTCCATAGACAATCAGTGCTGTCCCCAATGACTAGCAACAAGGCCAAAGGCTAGCCACAAGGGAGAGACTTTCAGAGAAGTGTAACTCAGTATGGGGGATACAATGGTTCAAAACTTGTCTGTTAGAATACATTCTAAAATGGAGTTGTTGAATAATTCTGTGTGCTTGTGAGAAAACAGGAAACAAGAGTCTTGTGATCCCCATTCCTTCAAGAACACAATTGATCTTGGAGTGTGCTTTCGTGGCTCTCCCAGGTATAGTGGGTAGGAGTGTGTTCACGTTAGACTCAACGGGCTCTTGCTATTTGTTTATACACCTCTACAGAAAAACATGTTTTTGCCACATGCAGTTCATTCTTGTGATTCTATACTTTATGCAGATGACTTGCTTTAACCCTCAGAGTATAAATTGTCTGATGCTCTGAATAAAGTTGGCCATTGCAGAAGACTGCAGTCTGCCTCATTTACTGTCTCCATTTTCTCAGTTATCACCACCTTTAGAGTTGTAAACATTTGTCAACTTGACAAGATTCAGAATGATCTAGGAGAAAAGCTGCTCACCGGATATCAAATATTAGAAAAATCTTTGCCAAGAATTTCTCCAATAGGGAAGTAACATAAAGTATTTTTGGTGAACACAGAAACTCTCTGAACTTTGGAGGCTGAAGCAGGAGTGTTAGTGTATATTTTTCACAATCTATTTTTTAAAACTTATTTTATGTATTCACCATTGCTCTCTTCAGATACACCAAAAGAGTGTGACCTTCCCCAGCCTTGAGCAGACCTGTTTACCACAACAGACCAAACAATAGGACTCAGGTGTTAACCACCTTAGTGACCCACAGTCTGCTACAGGAGCTGAGAAGAATAGACTTGTTTATACACCACTAAGGAGAAACATGTTTTTTGCCACCTGAAGCTTGTTCTTGTGATTCTATACTTTATGCAGATGACCCACTGATCTTGCCTTGAGATACCTCCCGCTGAGATTTAGGATGGAGTCCCCTTACCCACACCCCAAAGAGAGTGGAGCAAGAAGGAGTTTGGTGGTGGAGGTGGGGCTTCCCCCTTAAATTGAAAGATAAACATGAAAGCATTGAGCCTTGATCAGAGAACTTTGTCTTAGCTTCATCTCTTTTCACCCTCCATCCCTTCTTTCATTCCCCCCCTTTCAGGTGAACCCAGTTATTTCATGGCTGCAGGCGGCTACAAAAAAAGGTCACCAGACTCCATTACAGATTGTTGTGAGTCACTATGTGGTTGCTGGGAATTGAACTCAGGACCTCTGTAAGAAGCAGTCAGTGCTCTTAACCACTGAGCCATCTTTCCAACCCTTCACAATCTATTTTAATAAGGGTTCAACCTCCTCTCTAACCCACCACCCACCAGAGGTAGTAGAAAAGAAAGGTTATTTGGAACAGGGAAAGTGGACCTGTTTAGAAATAGTTCTTTGGGGGTGTGTACTGGCTGAATTTGGGTGTCAACTTCACACAAGCTGGAGTTATCACAGAGAAAGGAGCCTCCCTTGAAGAAATGCCTCCATGAGATTCAGCTGTAAGGCATTTTCCTCAATTAATGATCAAAGGGGGAGGGCCAGTCCATTGTGGGTGGTGCCATCCCTGGGCTGGTGGTCCTGGGTTCTATAAGAAAGCAATCTGAGCAAGCCAGGGAAAGCAAGCCAGTAAGTAGCATCCCTCCATGATCTCTGCATTAGCTCCTGCCTCCAGGTTCCTGTCCTGTGTGAGTTCCTGTCCCAACTGATGTAAGTCTACCATTATATGGTAATTCCATTTAAAACTCCTTTTATATTTTTCTATTTATTAGGATGAGCCTACAGTAGTAGGTTTCTATAGGGATTTTCAAAAGGCCTTTAGTGTTAGTATGGCACTTTGAATGAGCATGGCCTTCATAGGCTCCTATCTTTCAATACTTTGTCCATAGTTAGTGGAACTGCTTGTAAGAATTAGGATGTTTCTTGATAGCTTTATGTCAAGTTGCCACAAGCTAAAGTCATTTGAAAGGAGGGGACCTCAATTTAGAAAATTCCTACATAAGATTGAGTTGTAGGCAGATCTGAAAGGCATTTTCTTAATTAGTGATTGTTTGGGGAGGACTCAGCATGTTATGGGTGGTACCATCCATGGGCTGGTGCTCCTAGGTTCTACAAGAAAGTAGGCTGAGCAAGCCTTAAGGAGGAAGTCAGTAAGCAGCACTTCTCCATGGCTTCTGCATTAGTTCTTGTCTCTAGGTTGCTGTACTGCTTGAGTTCCTGTCCTGACTAACTTCAATGATGGAAATGTAAGCCAACATATGGAAGTGTAAGCCAAAATAAATGCTTTCCCCTATAGAGGAATTTTAATCCATCAACATGGTTGCTCTGTCAAGGGCACATCTAAAGACCTTCTCAGTATATGTGATTCAGCTGGAAGGCAGACACTCCCCGGATTACAGTATGATCTAGCTGGAACACAGAGACATCCTTAATACACATATTTAATCCCTAACAATATAGGTTAGGTTAATTTGTAGAGGGAAGCAGCCATGTTTGAAAGTGACATCTAATTGAGGGGCAGACGAACTAACAAAATCAGAGAAAGATTTGACAGAATAAATCAGAAATTGGATGTCCACACCTCTCATGAGAACAGCACAGGAAAGAGGGGTGACTTAAGAGACAGCACACACACACACACACACACACACACACACACACAGAGAGAGAGAGAGAGAGAGAGAGACAGAGAGAGAGACAGAGAGAGAGAGATGCAGTTTTCCCAAGAGTTTTACAAAAATAGGTTGCAAGTGAGGACAGAGCAAGCCATAGCTTGAGAAAGCAGCCAGATTAGAACAGATTGTCAGAGTTAGTTCGAGACCAAGCAGAGCAATTCAATCAGAAGCTGAGAGAAGCCATCTTGAATGAGTCAGTTTGGAGAGGAGTTTGCGCCAAACCAGCTGAGTTGATCTAGCCAGCCAGAGTTCAGAAAGAGCTGGAAAGGGTGAGCTTAGTGAGCAGTAAGCCTTCAAGACAACAAGTACGTCAGATGATTTAAAGTTACTTTTACATTCCTCCCCACTTGCTTTTTGGTCATGATGTTCTATTGAAGCAGTAGAAACCCTGACTACACAGGAGGTATGGACTTGGAGGTGTGTTTAACAAAGTAGGTGGGGTTTGACTCAAACCGTTCTCAGTGTACTCTTAGCTTCTTGCTTGTGGATTAGGCTGTGAGCTCGAAGACTCTGCTCCAGCATGATGCCTAACTGTTTGCCATGTTCCTTTCCACCGTGACAGTCATGATTTCTTGTATCTATTAAATTGCAAGCCCCAAATAAACTCTTCATTCTAAAAGCTGACTTGCTCTAGTGTTTCGTCACAGTGAAAAAAAAAAAAAACAACTAAGACAGAAGTTTCTGTGACAAGCCGAATCATGGTGTTGTGTTGTTGTTGTTTGGTTGGTTGGTTGGTTGTTTTTGGAGGAATATAAAAGGTTTGGCGACTATAAAAGCACTTGGATGCTATGCGTAGGATGTAATGGGCTATCTTAGGACAAGCTAGGATAAGACAACGTGTTCCATTAATCTACATGTCTGTTTTTGTTCCAATACCACATTGTTTTTATTATTATGGCCCTGTAATATACCTGGAGATCTGGAATAGCAATCCGGTCAGTATTTCTCTTTTTGCTCAGTATTATTTTACCTAGCTGTTGTCTTTTGTGCTTCTATAATAATGTTGGGATAGTTTTTTCTATCCCAACTAGATGAAGATTTTGATTAGGATTGTGTTAAATCTGTAAATAACTTTTGGTAAAATGGTTATCTTCACAAGTTAATTCTGCCAATCCATGAGCATGGGATGTCTTTCCATTTTCCAGTGCCTTTATCTCAGAGGTTTAAAGTTTTTATTGTGTTGTCTTTCATTTCTGTGCTTGGCTTTATTTTGAGATATCTTGTTTTCTTTGAGGATATTGTGAATGGGAGTGTGTCCATGATCTCATTCTCTGTGTTTGTTGTTGGTATTTAGAAAGGCTGTTGAGTTTTGAATTTTTATTCTGTATCCTGCCACATTGTTTATTATTTCTAGAGGTTTTATTGTAGATCTTTGGGATTTCTTTTGTCTAATACACCATTGACAAACAGGCATAGTTTGATTTCTTTTCCTATTTGTATCTTTTTAATTCCTTCCCAGTGCCTTATTGCTCCAGCCATTGTTTCAACACAGTTACCTAGACTAACCCCAAAATACAAAATTAAAAATAGTAGTAATATACTCATCAAAAATTTCAAGACCTTTAAGAAGGACATGAAGTAATATCTCAATAAGTTAAATGCATCTGAGCTGATGCACAAGAAAACACAATATAAGGCTGAAGGAGGTGATGAAGAGAAGAATACAGGGTTTCAAAATGTAATAAGAAACAGAAATTTAAAGAGGACTCAGGCCAAAATGAAAAGCTCAATAACCCAAGTAGAAAACTCAAGGGAAAGCTTTACAAGGAGACTGAATTGAGAAGAAAGGAATATCATCATTCAAGATAAAGTAGATTGTTTAGATGTTAATTCACATCTGCCTAGCAAAGTTCATGGGACAATGACTCCCAACAGATGAATGGGCTTGGTGCTGCCAGGACTGAAGCTATTTCCCAAGTCTACCTACAGTCTTTATCTAATCCAGCCAAAGAACCCCATCCAGATGACTGGATTGTTAACATTCCCATTAAGGGATCTACATATGAAATGGAAGTATGATGCAGTGAAACCAGGAGGCAACATTACAGAAGACACAGACAGGAACATTTCCCATAATTCCCCAGCCGAAGGAAGAGCACACAATCTTCACTTACCAAACCCCATGAGAATTAAAGAGCCAACCAGCATGATTAAAGTCTGCAGAGAGTCTGTGTAGATCACTGAGGCCAAGCCCCCTATGGAGAGAAAATATCAGAGCAGGACATTTTACCCATGCATCCTGATTTCCCTCTTCACCTCTAGGCTCTCCTCTCTCCCAAAAGTAGAAAAGAGTCAGCAGACAACATATCATGGGTCCCATGTGAGTCCTGGCTTGTCTTGACATCATTATCTTCTAAGTGTTTATTAACATATTTAATTCATTTTCTTTTCTTACTTAGATACAAAGTTCTGTGAATTATTGGTGGAATTCCATGTTGGTCAGTTTTTGAATATTAAATAAGGGAAAACTGACAACTTACCATAATAACCTACTCAGTTACCCTTGTTTGGAATATCTATATATTTATCTATCTATCTATATATCTACCTGTATATCCATCTATATATCTGTCTATAAATCTATATATCTATAGATCCTTGCTCCTTTTCAAATTCATGACCTCTTTTACACTAATTGTTGTTACATGTGTATATGTACACATATTTACACACATATATTTCTATATGTAACCTGTTCAGCCTCATGCTGTTGTCTTTATCAATCTTCTTACATCTAATGGAACATTCTGTTGCATTTCTTGCAATTGCTCCTCTTGTCCTGTGCTTTATTCTCACAGTGTCATTGGGATGGTATCCTCATTCTGGCCCTTGGAAGACTAACACAGAGTCTACTAATCCCAGATCAGGGGAGGACAAACAGAACATATCATGGGTGAGTAAAACCGGAGTCAGTCTTACCAGCCACTGTGTAAAAAGCAGTGATAGCCAAGAGGATGAAGACAGCCAGGTAGAGGTTCAATCCCAAGGCCAGTTGGATGAATATGGCTCCGGAAAATATGTTTGACTATGAAAGCAACAGTGGGGATGGGAAAGAAAGATAGATTTCAAGTCTCTTAGTTTCCTGCTCTAACATCCACCTCCTTTCCTCACTCTCCTGGTAGACTCCTGCTCCTCCTCCAAGATTCCACTTAGTTGTTCCCACCACAATTTCCCCTGCAAGTCATTGAACAATTTTCACTCTCTCTTCTGTACATACACCCCAGGTAGTTCATTGTTGAAAGGCTACATAAAGGAAGTGGCATGTTCTTGATTGGTTCTTGACTTGGTCAATAAAGAAGGTGGGAGCCAATTGCTGGGCAAAGGGTAAAGGTGGGACTTCGGGATCCCAGGAGGAAAAAGGGACATGAGGAAAGAGAAGGAGTCTTTTGGGCCAGGCTTTGGAATGAGAAACATACAACAGCCATGTACGATCTTGAGGTAGCTAGAACCGGGGACCTCTGCCACTGGTATATGGCTGATATAGGCTAGCTGATAAGGTTAGGGTAAGAGATTCTGCACGCAGTTATTGTGTTATAGGGCAAATTCAAAGATAATAAAGGTGTCTGAATGTTTTTCTTCCTAGGAGCAAAGGTGGGCAGAAAAAGATAGAAGCTGGCGTGGTAGCTAGAACCTAGCCGGGAGGAATGGGTAAGCTCGGAGTGGGACTGGCAGCGGGAAAGGAGGAAGCATGTTTTTTCAAAATTACATGCAACATGTCCTGTAACTTTTTTCTGTACCATAAAGCTTAGAGAGGCTCAATAATCACCTAGAGTAACTCTCTTGAGGAAGGTATTTCAAAGAATACATTATTGGCGTTAGTATTCTATCAATGAAAAATTTAGGATTCTAACTTTTATACATATGTATAAAATCACATACTGCTTCAAAAAGAGCCATTGAAGGGATGATTTTTTTAAAAAAAAATAATTTTAAAGAATCTCTTTTAGAAATGTTTTAACTTCTAAGGTTGTATTTTATTTATTTATTCATTCAGTTTTTGAGAGTATAACATAATGTTTCTCCCTTCCCTTATTTATATTGGTGTCGATTGTAGGTGCCATACTAGAGAGAGAGTTCACCAAAATGTTAAGCGTTCCTTTTCCAAGGGAGCAGAGGGGTTCAGCCTTCTCGGAAAAGACTGGCACTCAGCTAGCTGACTCCAGCTTGTTGTTACCTTATTCAAACATAATACAAGGTTAACTGGGATTGAGAAAGGTTCAAGTTACCAAGGTTACCTTGCCCTTGTACCAGTGAGAGCAGAACACCCACACAAATCTCAGTCCCTTCTGACCATGGCTAGCCATAATCAAAAGTAAGAACTCCAGGTTTGGCAGGAGTGTCTTAGGACCAAGGTTGGTGGAGTCACAAGCTCTCGAGTCACACCAAGTGCAAATTCTCTAGAGAGACATTTGTTCAAGGTTCAAACAGTCTCAAAACATTTTCTCAGCCTCTACTGATTGATCAAACATAGCAAAGGCTTTGCTGAAACCTTTCCATTAAAGCCTGACACAATGGCTTTACTATACATTTCACTTAAAGCCAGACATAAAGGCTCTAGTAGACATATTACTATATTCCATTTCTTCCCTCTAAATTTTCTCATATACCCCTCTCCACTCTCTATTAAATTTAAGGCCCTTGCCCCACTTATTGTTATTCTGTGCACATATGTACATGTATGTATATACCTATATATTCCTAAATATAATCTATTTAGTCCATGTGTTACCTGTATGTGTATTTTCAGGGTAAACCATTTGGTAAAAGACAAACAACTGGTGTGCTTTTTCCCTGGGAAAGATAACCTCCCTTGCTGCCAGCTTTCCTTAGTTACCTATAGTTCTTTGTGTAGCGTTGAAGGCTGGTGGGCTTTTCCATGTCCAGAGTGACATGACCACTGGCATCCTCTTTTTTCAACTCAAGTTTGGGCAGTCACGTGGATGAGACTATAACAGCATGGCCTCTAATGTGACTATCTTCCTAGAATTCTTGAAAGAATTCACAAATTCTCACCTTACATCCCCTAAACTACCTCTAAGGCAGGTCTTTTTGTTTTTTGTTTTGTTTTGTTTTTTTCGAGACAGGGTTTCTCTGTATAGCCCTGGCTGTCCTGGAACTCACTCTGTAGACCAGGCTGGCCTCAAACTCAGAAATCTGCCTGCCTCTGCCTCCCAAGTGCTGGGATTAAAGGTGTGTGCCACCACCGCCTACCGGCAGGTCTTGCTATTATGATTATTTTGTTGCTAAGGACACTGAGGCCTAGGGACACAGACAGACGCTTATATGCCATGAGCTTCAACCTGTATGATGTCACTCTAAACCCCAGACTTATTAAATTCTGTTTGAGTGCTGGGGTGGTGTTTTACTTAGTGAGATACAGAGATATCATTCTTATAAGCTGTGATTAAGACAACCATAATTGATTACTGTGTTAGACAGTAATTTTACAGTCAAATTAACAAGATAATTACTGATAAGTTATTTCTCTCCCCCCCCATCCCTGGTGAAATGAGCCAATTCAAGCCAGATTAGAGTATATAAATGCAGATTTATTGGGAAGCCAGGGATATCACCCTGGGGAGGGAGAGAGGAGAGAGGGAAGAGAAACGGAGTACTGCACACAGGTAGAGAGAAGAAGAAGGAGGAGAAGGAAAAGGAAAAGGAAGAGGAGGAGGAGGAGGAGAGGGGGAGGTAGAAGAGGAGGAGGAGACAGACAGACAGACAGACAGATGCAATAGAGAAATTGAAAGAGGGGAAACCGAAATGCATGGATTATATAGGCAGGAGCCTCTGGGGGAAGGGCAGCCCACCCCCTGAGTACAGGGTTGGGTGTGGGGCATGCCATGTAGGGACTGAGGGATGCTGGGAGAACCTGGACAGCAGCTCTGCTTTGATATGTAAATATGCACCTCAGCCCTTCGTCCCAGGGTCTGAAACCCAACAATTATAAGAAGTAAAACTGCAAGACAGTAAGACATCAACTTCAGCCTTAATATGCCAAGCAAAATCTGGACAGGAGGGAGACACAGCCTTTATGACAGACATTAGACTTAGACATTTTCACCGGGCCAGCATGTGATAGCTGGTAAGTGATGGAGCAGGCTTAGGACTATAGATAAAACTGGAAAAAGTTTCTCTAACAGGGTAGTTAGTAAGTTCTGATCAAAGACAGACTAATCTAGAGAAATTCTCAAACCAGGCCACCAAATCCCCTTAGACAGCAGGGTTTTCACTTCAGAAGTGAATTAAACTTTAACAAAATGATGAAGGCTCAGCTGATGATAAATATTAGTCTCCTGAGTTCTGAGAAGACTGACTAACCCTGAGTGTCAGAGTTAAGTTTTTGGTATGGTTAGGCAACATAAAAAAAAACACATTTCAGATGCCTTATAAGAATCTTGATAACATGGAGAATCAGGTTACTTGGTTAGAAAAGATAGAACAAACACACCAGCGGGAAGTTAGGGGGAAGTAAACTTTTCAAAGATTGACTGTTATTTCAGATATTTGTATTTAAAACATCAGTATGATTTCTAAGTATGAAAGCACATAAACCTACAGAGCAGGTTCCAGGACAGCCCAAGCTAGACAGAGAAACCCTGTCAGGAAAGATCAAAACCAAAAACCAAACCAAACAAACCAAATCAAACAAACAAACAAACAAACAAACAGAAAACCAAAACTAAAACAACCAACCAAAAAAAGAAAAAGGAAGGAAGGAAGGAAGGAAGGAAGGAAGGAAGGAAGGAAGGAAGAGAGAGAGAGAGAAGGAAAGAAACCGGGTGTGTGGCATGCAAGCTTTTCATCCCACTGGGAGGCAGAAATAGACAATTTGAAGCAGACCTGATCTATAGAGTGAGTTCCAGGACAGCCAGGGCTACACAGAGAAACCCTGTCTTGAAAAAAATTAAAAAAAAAAAAAAGAATGCATAGAAGCTTCCCCCAGATAAATGGTGAAGGGTCAGGATAAGAAAGAACAGGCTATTCCAGAGGCAAGGGAAGAAAAACAATACACAAAAGCAATAAGAAAAAGATAAGGCATCTGAAAACAAAACAAATCTGAAGAATATTCCACCCAAACACTAGAAAATAGCCCATTAAAGTTTCTCTACGATAGACCACATCCTGGGATGGAAGCATTTGAGAACTCTTATTAAATTAGGTTTTGAAAAACCTAAACTTGCAACAGATAAAAGACTTCAGTGTGAATGAAGCCTGAAATACTGAGCCTGCTATGGAAAACACAGTCACTACACTATATGATACAGGTCCTGGAAAGGATTTTTTGAACAGAACACCATTTGCCTAGGAATTAAGGTCAATAACAAACAGACAAATGGGGCATCTTTACCACAAAGGAAACCATCAACCAAACGAAAGGGAAGCACACCGAACTGGAAGCATTCTTTTACAACTTGAAGGTGAAGCTGAAAGATTCTGATAGAATGTGATAGAATATGAATGTCCAGAGTTGATGAAGAACTTAAAAAACCAAAAGAGTCAGTAAAACAAATGACCAAGTTTAAAAACAAAAAAAAAAAAAAATCCATGGGCCATAGATCTGAACAGAGAGTTCTCCAAAGAAGAAATAAAAATGACCAAGAGGGATCTAGAATAGCTTTCAACATCTTTAGCAATTAGGGAAACACAAATCAAAACAGCCTTGAGATTTCATCTTACCCCAGTCAGAATGCCATACATCAACAAGACAACTGACAACAAATGCTGGAGAGGATGGGGAAGAGAAACGGAACTGTAACCCTCGCTGCTCAGCATGGGTGGGATTGCAAACTGTACCAGCCACTCCAGAAATAACTGTGGAGAATTCTCAAAAAACTAAAAATGAACCTAGCACATGTCCCAGACATACTGGTCCTTGACATCCCCCCAAAAGAGTCTATGTCCCACTCCACAGAGCTTGATCAACTGTGTTCATTGACCCAGTGGCTGTGTTCAATTCACAATAGTTCGGGAAATGGGAATGACTGAAATATCATTCCATTGATAAATGGATAAGGAAAGCGT